AAGATCCTTCGTTTGGATCGCCCCATGTTTTCCACTTTACTACTGTAGTGTTATCTGTGTAGCGCGTCAAATTTTGTGAATTGGAGCTCCCTAGGTTTAATTCGTATCGGATGAGCAAGTTTGCATTTTGAGGGACTTTATAGGATTTAGTTAAATCTCAGTGTTCGTGCATTGGCATGTATGGCGCATATTTAGGTTTTTTTTTTCCTTAAAATCCGCATCCTTGATCAGAACCCTAACTAAATATTTGTACTAAAAAAGTGAAATCAGGATAGTACAGACGTCCCGAGCAGTGACTGTTAGTCGTTAATGAAGATTTCTGACTTCTGTTTTTACTTCCACAGGGAATCAATCACTTTGAGCTGGTACCTTTTCTTTTGCATATTCAGCTTTTGTTCCTATGGCGGTATGAATGATGCTTAGCAAACATAAAAAATCCGTTTATTTATAAGTGTCGTTCAACATCTAATTTTCAAGCATCCATCTTGGTTTGGATGTGTAGGTGGAGAGGCTTCTCAAGGATGAGGCCACTGAAGAAAAGGGAGAGCGTGCTAGAATGGTGAGTATTGCAGCAGTTATGCTAAAGGTGTTTTTGGGACTTTTATGTTAAACATTTTCAACTGAAAAAAATTGGGTATAGGGACTGGTTTATTTCTGTGGCTTCTTCTATTATTCGAGCTCCCAGTTTATATTTCCTCATTTTGCACCTTATTTTTTTAAATAAGGGAATCAACGGGTAATTTTTTCCTTTTTTTCTGTTCTGACTTATAGTTTCACTCTTTTTACATCAGGCATCCTTTGTTGGAGCCATGGCTATTGCAGACTTGGTTAAGACAACCTTGGGACCTAAGGGGATGGTAAGAGGCCTGTTTATCTAGATTTTGTTGCAGTTTTGCTAGATAATTATACTTGCTCTTATATTTCGTCGTTAAATATGTCTTTTGTAGGACAAGATTCTGCAATCCACTGGCAGAGGACACAGTGTCACTGTTACAAATGATGGGGCAACCATCTTAAAATCCTTGCATATTGACAACCCTGCTGCCAAAGTCCTTGTTGGTAATCCTCTATTTTATTTATTTGTATTTTGCTATATGCTTTATTTTATTGGTTAGTAATGTGTTGTTCTTTTTATTTCATTTTTTTTAATAAAACAATTGTACAATACATTATTGAGGTCTTGCTTATTTTATCCTAATGTGAGTTGTGGCCCCATAAGTTAGGATCCATCTGTATTTTAAAATGTCAGTATATGTTCATTGTGTGTGTTCAATTGTGAATATGCCCAGAAGGTTGATTTTATTAGTTTTGAGAGCATTTGGAAAGAACTGGTTTTATTTCAACCATGGGTAACCTTGAATTATTATCAGATATCTCGAAAGTTCAAGACGATGAAGTTGGTGATGGTACAACTTCCGTTGTTGTGTTAGCCGGGGAGCTTATGAGGGAGGCAGAGAAGCTGGTAAATGCAAAAATCCATCCAATGACTATTATTTCAGGTTTGTCTCTTCTTTCTAGATCAACTTTTCTGCAGTTAAATTCTAAGTTTGTTAAGCATTATAACCGCTATTGAATTACGTGAAGTTGATCCGATTTCCTTTAACCCTAGTTGTCGACTTTTAAATGGAAATAGCATATATGCAAAATTGATAGGTGTCAGTGCTTCTAGTTGTCCTTGTTTATTTGTTTAAGTCGCTTGTGTTTTG